TGGTGTTATTGTCTATTTATACTGGAAGTTTTTGAATTTTAACGTGCATTAATAATTGGATTTAGCCAGGAGTCGTCATTTTGGTCATATCATACAACCCTGAAGAGTTTGGATCCGTCTTCCTAGTGGGATTCAATCATAACAGTACAGAGTCCATGTTAAATGTTCCGCTCAATGTTTCTTTTAGGAGAGCTTTAGTTGGTCAGAATTTAACACTTTGGCATGAATTGTGTGCATCTATTGTTCATATTCAATTGAATAATACTTCTGATTATTTTAGATGGAACTATCATCAGAATGGCCAATTCTCAGTTAGATCAATGTACTTAGCCTTAATTAATAATGGTTACATTGACAGAAATAAGTTAATTTGGAAACTCAAAATGCCGCTTAAGATCAAGATCTTTATGTGGTATTTGCTTAAGGGAGTTGTGTTAACCAAGGATAATTTAGCAAGACGGAATTGGACTGGTAATTTAAGATGTTGCTTTTGTACGAAAAATGAGACTATCCAACATCTGTTCATTGATTGTCATTTTACAAAGTTTATTTGGAGGGCAGTTCAGTTTTCTTTTGGTTTATATATTCCTACTAGCATATCTCATATTTTTTATGATTGGCTTCAGGGAGTCATAAACAAAAAGAGCAAACTAATACTTGCTGGAGCTTCTGCCTTGTGTTGGGCACTGTAACTGAGTAGGAATGATAGGGTTTTTGACAAATCACCTACTATTACTTATATGCAGGTCATTTTCAAGGCAACATATTGGCTTCGTCTGTGGGCACAGTTACAAAAGTGTGATGAAGATACAGATTTCTTAATTGTTGCATGTCGTAAGGTTGAAACGACGGTTATGCAACTGTTTGCCAATCATGGATGGAGATTTACCAATAGACTGGAATAATGTTATTTTGTCTAGTTTGGTTGGTGTGTTTGCTTCTATTTGAACTTCACTCTTACAGAGTGCTAGTTTGTAATAATTGGCTGTAGCTCTTTTGAGTAAAGGTCGGGATGCTATTTCATTCCATTATCTAAAAAAAACAGAGTCCATGTTAAATAGAGTGAATGGAGTAGTTATTATTATTATAACGGTTCAAGCTTAAAAAAAGCTTACTGCTCCCTTCGATCTAAAATATAAGCATTTATAGCTACGAATCTGGATAACTGCGTGTTAAAATTCATAGCAAAAAAATTGCTATATTTATGATTTACTTATTTATTTATTTATTTACGATAATATATCTTAGCTACTTTAAATTATGCATTTGTTGTATATAGTGATAAAAGGATGAACAAGACATCCAAAATAGTTGAGGGCATCATAGACTTTAGCCTTACAAATCTAGTAATGTATGCCTCCAATAATCTAGAGAAACAAGCAACATAACTTATTCTACTCTAACTTATTATAATCCAGCCTATAATAATCTAGCTAAATAATCTATATTACAATAATTTTAAGCTAAACAAACAGGGCCTATATATAAATGGTATGCAACTCGCAAACCATGTATATGGCTCGACTGATAACGCGCTCTCGGTGCGAAGTGGATGTCGTGAGTTCGAACTCCTACCCCTTAGTGTATGCGTGATTTTTATTGCCCGCACCTAGCGCGAATCTCTACAGACGTCGGACGGCAAAAAAAAATCGAGCCTTTTTACATCTAACCCATCAGATGGCAAAAAATGGAGAAAGTTTTCCAAATAAAAAAAATGTCTCATGTTCTTTAGCAAGACCGTTAAAAAAAATGCAGCTTTGTTTCTTCGTGTTTCGAAGAGATAATAAGGGGTAATGTAAAGAGTGCACCATTTGCTCCTCGTTGGGCAAAGGGTTCCACACTCGCTGGGAAGCGTTGCTACTGCCGGCCTTTTCGCGGGCACGTACGCCATGCAAGCAACTCACCCCACGCGCCATGTCGGCCGCTTGCTGCCGGCGCGTGTGTGCATTGGGGGAGGTTAGTTCGAGACGCTTTCGCGCTCTCCCCCGGCGGTCGTCGCTTGCGGGCGCTGCTCCAGCTAGCTAGCTGCTGAGAGCTCTCGCAATGGTAAAGTAAGATGTTTTCTATAAAACATGTACATCTCAGTAGTAGACTAGATTAATAGTAAACCACCTCAATAGTATGTCTATATGGGTATCTATAGCTCTCTAATGCATTGCCTCGTTTTTCTCTATAGACTATCTCCAGGTTAGTAGATAGTTTTGCTCTCTCTCTCCATTTAATCTCTTCTAAGTAGGAGAATATACTGACATGGATCTCTTTTAGAGAGTCTATAGATAACCATTGCAGGTGCCCTGATGCGTGTGGTTCCCCGGGCTGCTACTGGTCACGTACGCCAATTCTCTCGGGCCACAATGTGCAGATCCCGATGTTATATATGTGCCAAGTGGTGCTGAATGGATCGATCCAATAGAAAAACTAGTAGCAACTCATGTTACTGCCGGAGGAAGCAAGAACAGGAGATTCCTACCCCTTTAAAAATAAAAATCTTTGTTTGGCTAGTTCATAAAGGCTGCATCCAAGCTGCTCTCTGCTTGAAGAAGATGAACTGGCCAGGGGATGAAAATTGCAAACTGTGTGGGGAGACTGAATCTGTTAACCACTTAATCTTTCAATGCCCCCCTGCTCGTTTCCTTTGGTGTTGTGTGAGAGATGCTTAGGGCTGGGAAGTAGCTCCTTCTTCTTGTGAGGAGTTACAAAATAAGATTCTTGAGAAGGGGGTCACGATAGGAAATAAAATTTCTCTTACTATGATTGCAGCCGGAATGTGGGCGATTTGGAAAGTTAGAAACGATTGGGTGTTTAGGAATGTCTTAGTAAGTGATGTGATACAGTTACCTTACAAGATGCTTTCTTTCTTAAAACAGTGGGCTCCGTTAGTACCAGAGAAGATGAAGGCTCGGCTGGAGGAACTAAGGGGCTTGCTAGATGCCAGAATACGTCAGATTCACGAGGAAGGAGCAGCTGGGTGATGGCGCTGAAGAAGATGAAGACTGGAGGATGTGCTCTAAACCTGGATTAGCTTTCAATGTTTGAGGAAATGGTTTCCAGTGTTTAGCCTTCTGTGTGTTTGAACTTATGCTTTTTTCTGTTGCAAGCTGGTATTCCCAGCAGTTGTATCGAACCTCTTTAAGCTTTTTAAGTAAAGCCGGGCTCACAGCCTTTTCTCTAAAAAAAAAAAGAACAGGAGATTCGATCGATCGACTTTGCGATTTGCTTTGGGTATCGTCCAGAGTTCCACACTCCAGAAATTGAGGATTAAATGCGTGGTCATCTAAATGGTATTCTCGCTCATGTCATACACACGGAAACAGCCAAAAGTTACGATCGATCTGGAAATCACATAGTCATGACTGATCATAGTGAAATTACGTCTGTGATAAACTTAAGTAAATAAAATCAATTATGTCCATTTCACAAGGGGTGTTAGGAAATGAAAAAAATATAATGGAGAAATTGTATTGTCCTTGATAAGGTACAGAGAGCTAATATATTAAGTACTACCTCCGTTTCAGGTTATTAAACTTTCTAGCATTGTCCACATTCATATAGATGTTAATGAATCTAGGCACACATATATGTCTAGATTCATTAACATACATATGAATGTGGGCAATGCTAGAAAGTCTTATAATATGAAACGGAGGAAGTATAAGATTTGATACCTCTCAGCCTATCAAGTACCCAAAAGGACTAAAATCACTACTCTGTTTTGTAAAATTTGATAATTTTAACTAATGGTATCTTCCAAATTGTTTGATTATTGTGAAAAAGATTTATATATTTATATTTACCATGTAACACACTTTTAATAATTTTAAAAGTAAATTAATTGCACATTGCACTAGGGTAAATCATACCTTGTTTCACTTTGCACTAGATTTAATTAGTACATACTTTTGTTGTACACCAGGATATATATATATATATATATATATATATATATATATATATATATATATTGAAAGACGTTTAACTTAGGTGTTGTATCATATATTAAAGAAAAAAAATGTAAAATATGATTAAAAATATATAACCTTTTTCTTAATTAGAGCATGTTTGATGATGATTTATTCAAACTTGATGAAAGGTCTTGAAAATCCTACATATTTGATGATGTATCGTGGTGTTAAGTGAAAACTAAATCATTGAACCTGTTATAGAATGAAAGTATGTCTAAATGTGTAAAGCGAAACAAGGTGCACTTTACCTTGTGCAAAGTACAATTTTGTCTTAATTTTAACAATATGATATATGTTTAGTTAAAGTCATAAGTTTGTTTATAAAATAGGATTGTTGGTCAAACTAAAACAATACGGTTGAAATTGCCAAGTATCATGAAATGGATGAAATAAAATCATGTGGTACTAGAGGGATGTGCATGCTTGATTTGAAGACATAGGGTTATCGAAATAGGTTTCTATACTTCTACATTACTACTTTAGAAGGACTTCAATAACAGTGGTAGTGAATTTGCCATCCAACCTACTTCTATTAAAAGTTTTACAAGTTACACCCTTAACATCTTAATAGTACTCCAAATACATAGCCATATATAAAATTAATGTGATAACATATTCTATGGATAATATGTTTTTATTTATTTTTAAAAATATTGTGTTATTTTTTCTTTTATCTGTAGTAAAGAATGAGCGTTTAGTTAGGGTAGCATAAATGCGCAGTAACAAAATCAATACAGTAGAGTATGTAGCTATGTGTAGCATGCATGTTTTACATCTAGTGTGATTGTCTTAATCTTATTACAGAGCCCAGTCTCACGTTTTACATCTTCTCCATCTCCACGTATTGTGTGCAACAAAAAGAGAAGTTATGCTTGCTCTAAAGTCAGCATTAAATCAGTAGCATCAATACAGAGTGGAGTAGCATCAATACAGAGTAGGGCCATCTGACAACCAGTAAATGTACTGTCCACCGGGCCAACCCCATCTTCTTGACCTCTATATAATCTCACACATTCACACATCTTTCGCTCACACAAACCAAGCTCCATACCGCTGCCTACATCTCTGGTTAGTAGCCACCAAGGTCCAAGGAGTAACACGCTCCGTGAGAGACCGAAATCCAGGGAGCACAAATTGCACATTTGCACCAAGCACACTCGCTGCAGCTGCAGTGACATGCCGGAAGCACCGACCGCCAAGACAGCACCGGCCTACGGCTACGCCCCCGGGGCGCACGCCGAGGCGCTCGAGTTCATCGAGCACGTCACGGCGAACGCCGGGCAGGTGCAGCGGCGCGTGCTCGGCGAGATCCTGGCGCAGAACGCGCCGGCCGAGTACCTGCGCCGGTACGGAATCCCCGGGTCCCCCGACGTTGTCGACGCCTTCCGCCGCCTCGTCCCGCTCGTCACATACGAGGGCCTCCAGCCAGACATCCTCCGCATCGCCAACGGCGACACCTCGCCGATCTTCTCCGGGAAGCCTATCTCCGAATTCCTCACGAGGTATAGCACAATATATAACGTGACATGTTCATGCTTCCCCGTGTGTGTACGCACGCACGCTGCTGCGTGCAAAACCTAGAAAGACGTACGAGTTCATATCTGTACAGATCTTCATGCAATGGAATTTCATCATGTCCACCAGCTCGGGCACGTCGGGAGGGGAGAGGAAGCTCATGCCGACCATCGCCGACGAGATGAACAGGCGGTCGCTGCTGTACAGCCTGCTGATGCCGGTGATGAGCCAGTCGGTGTCCGGGCTCGACAAAGGCAAGGCGATGTACCTGCTCTTCGTGAAGGCGGAGTCGCGCACGCCGGGCGGGCTCGCGGCGCGGCCGGTGCTCACAAGCTACTACCGGAGCCGGCAGTTCCTCGACCGTCCGCGCGACCCCTACACATCTTACACGAGCCCCGACGAGGCCATCCTGTGCGTGGACTCCTACCAGAGCATGTACGCGCAGCTGCTCTGCGGCCTCGTCCACCGCGCCGACGTGCTGCGCGTGGGCGCCGTGTTCGCCTCCGGCTTCCTCCGCGCCATCCATTTCCTCGAGAAGCACTGGGCGCGCCTCTGCCACGACATCCGCACCGGCGAGCTCGACCCGGAGATCACCGACCGCGTGGTGCGCGACGCCGTCGGGCGGGTGCTCCGCGCCGACCCGGCGCTCGCCGACGCGATCGAGGACGAGTGCGCTAGGGCGTCGTGGGAGGGCATCATCCGGCGCCTGTGGCCACGCACCAAGTACATCGACGTGATCGTGACCGGCACCATGTCGCAGTACATCCCGACGCTCGAGTTCTACGGCGGCGGCCTGCCGCTGACGTGCACCATGTACGCCTCTTCGGAGTGCTACTTCGGCCTCAACCTGAATCCCATGTGCAAGCCCAGCGACGTCGCCTACACGCTCATCCCCACCATGTGCTACTACGAGTTCCTCCCCGTCAATTGCAACAATGCCACTGCCGAGGCGAGCCACCGCGACCTCGTCGACCTGGTCGACGTAAAGCTCGGGCACGAGTACGAGCTCGTGGTCACCACGTATTCCGGTAAATCTGCCTTACCTCTTCGACACATAACGTGGCCGCGCGCGATGGATGATATATATTCTTATATGCAGTAGTAATATATATAATTAACAGTTTTGCGATTGTGACAGGGTTGTATCGTTATCGCGTGGGCGACGTGCTGAGGGTGGCGGGGTTCAAGAACAAGGCCCCGATGTTCAGCTTCGTGCGGCGGCAGAACGTGGCGCTGAGCGTCGACTCGGACAAGACGGACGAGACGGAGCTGCACGCGGCGGTGAGCGGCGCGGTGCAGCACCTGGCGCCGTTCGGCGCGTCGCTGGTGGAGTACACGAGCTACGCGGACGCGGCCACCATCCCGGGCCACTACGTGCTGTTCTGGGAGCTGCGCGCCGGCAGCACGGCGGTGCCGGCGTCCGTGTTCGAGGAGTGCTGCCTGTCCGTGGAGGAGGCACTGAACAGCGTCTACCGGCAGGGCCGCGCGTGCGACAGGTCCATCGGCCCGCTCGAGATACGCGTCGTGGCGGAGGGCACCTTCGACAAGCTCATGGACTACGCGATCAGCCGGGGCGCGTCCATCAACCAGTACAAGGCGCCGCGGTGCGTGCGCCCTGGCCCGGTCGTCGAGCTGCTCGACGCGAGGGTGCAGGGCAAGTACTTCAGTCCCAAGTGCCCCAAGTGGAGCCCCGGGAACAAGCAATGGAACAAAAGCAAGGATCTGGTCGGCAAGGGAGACGCCTAATATTGAAGCTAGAGGGTGATGATCTGATCGAGTATTTGTGTGAGCTGGTAATTAATTAACGGTACATGCATATGGTCATTGGTCGATATGTTTCTTTAGGGATATGATAATTCATGTTTGAATTATCTCTGATGCTGCGAGAGGATCGAATAGTTATGAGATGACGACTTAGCCTATATGATCATTTGCTTTACTCTTTCTCTGCTGTAACGCAGTATATGTTATTTCCTCCGTCTCAAAATATAAGCATTTTTAGTACATTGATAAATTAAACATTTTTAAATTTGACTATTAATAGCAAGAAAAATAAAAAATCAATCATGTAAAATTGATATTCCTAGATTTATCATTAAAAACACTATCATAATATGCAACTTTTTTTATTTAAAATATTTTATTTTTATATATATTGTTGGTTAAAGTAGCATCTTGGATATCGTGTCAGGGTTTAAAATGATTATATTTTAGGACGGAGGGAGTAATTAGTAGCCGTATTGAATAGACTTTTCTACTCAAAGATATGTCTCTCAAATTTATGCACATCGCACGGTGTGCATGCAGTGCCGAGAATTTATTACTTGTCAAAATTGTTGGACTACTGCTACTGATGATAAATAACTTGTCAAAATGATAAACTACATCAAATACTACTATAGTAGTATATTATAATCTTCCTTTATACTAGTATATGCTATCTCATGATGGTTGACATTAACTTTTTCAGTTGCTCATGCACATGAATTGAACTCTGTTGTACGCACTAGCTAGCACTACCATATTGTTTGTTTCCGGGGAACATGGCTATCGAAATGGCATGGGTTAGTACACCGGTGAGTTTCCTATTTTAATCAGACTCATATTGTAGGCTTAGTTTTTACGCACTTTTGAGTCAACAGTCCATCTTTTGAGAGTGGCAATGTGGCATGACAAGTTTGAGTAATTGAGTTAGAAATATATTGAGATTCGTGCAGAGCTGTACAAACAAGCAAAATATAGTTCGTTTCCTGTTATCCCCATGGTTATTTTTTTTAGTTTTATTCTAGCAATAAAATAATTTCTTTAGAAAATATAAATAATGGTGCAGATTACGGCTCTCATCGTTTGACTTATTCACGGAATAAGCCAAACGGCATATTTGCAAATGAAAAATAATTTGTGAATAGAACTTTATATATGTGTTCTTAGTGATCTAAAAGCAAAGGCTGAAAAACAAACCTAGATGAAAAAACCCCAAAGTCAACTCTAAACTTAAGGTTAAAAATTCAAAATTTGGTTGATAAGTATAAGCATAAGTGAAAAGATGAGGCTGCACATATAAACGTCTCTAACAAAACATAATGTATAATATGGACAGCAAATTATTACCTTTCATTTATTTACTTATATATATATTTAAATTTATTTACATATTGAGTTTAGAATATATCTTAAGTTTTAAAACTTAAGATATTACTCCAATGCCTCCATTCCAAAATATAAGAATTTCTAGATTGTTTAGCACATATTAGGATTAAGAGAAAAGATTCTCTTTTAGTCACTGTATTCGTCAAATTTTGAATTTTGAATTGCTTAGGTTTTCCTTCCAAGTAATTAATTTATTGGCTGGAAATGCATGAATGTTCGTGTATTTAAATTATTGTTGTATAAGAAATGCTTATATCACGGTACAAAAAATTGGAATCATATATTTTTATTATATTTTAAAACAAATAGAGTAAAAGCAATATTGTAGACTATAACGTTGCCTAGATACCACGGATAGGCAGTTGGTGCATTTAGCTAGGTCAATGGAATGGTGCCTCTAAGGCCTTCTTTCCTTCAACTTCAAACTTCAATTTCCTCATTTTTTCTTAGCACGTTTCTCAAACTGTTAAATAAATAATACGTTTTGTGAAAAAAAACTATATAGAAGTTGTTTAAAAAATACATAAATCCATTTTTCAAGATTATAATTATTAATACTTAATTATTCTTGTGCTAATAAGCTGTGATTCATTGGTATCCCAGTTCTCTGTGATTCAGTGATTTGGTAATAACTTGGCAGAACAAAATAACATGTTAATTAACTCTTCCCCTAAGCATGGAATAATAATATATTAATTGTGTGATATATTGTGCCATTGATAATTTGTTAACAGCACGAACATACATATATGTTATAAATATATAGTCGCCAAATAATTATTGCGCACACAACAAAAATGTGTACAGGAAGAAAGGCCAATTATATACATTTTACTACTTCACTATTTTATGAGTTTTTGTTTCGCGAACGCGCAAAAGGATTCCACATCAATATATTAGAAGAAAAGAGTTTTTGTTACACAACACAATTAGCCAAACCGGTTTATGCCAAGGGAAAGGAGAAAAAACAAAACATAAACTGAAGCTTAGGAAAAACTACAGCGGCTAAACGCAACTCCTAACAGTGGGAAGGGGCAGAGCCACGCTATATTTCCAATAAATCCCCAAAAGCAGACTATTTTATGAGCTGTAGTGGCTTATATTAAAGGAAGCTAGTCCAAGCCAATTATAACTTACTAACAATTAATTTCGAAACAAAATACTCCATCCATTTCAATTTAGTTGTCGTTTTAGCAAATCTTACGCTAACAAGGAGGTGCGGCAAATTACATTACAACCCTTATTAATTATATCCTAATCATCTTTCTCGAAGTAAGCATTAAAATTTCTTGTGATGAGTACTTAAGTACTACTAGTATGTCTTTATTGGTGAAGGTGGGAAATAGGAATATGAGAATGATAAGTATTTAATTAAAAAATGAATGGTATAATGACAAGTAAATTGAAACGGAGGGATTACTAAAATAGTTAAATAAAGATACAACTTCATATTTATTAGCTCTATATTTTGGAATTACTAAATTTTATGGTAAAGTCTTTAGCAGTATTATAGGAGTTTGATTCTACGCCATTCTCAACCTTATCAAATACGAGTTCACATCGCCAATTAAATTCTTTTGTCACTTATTTGGATTGTAGCCACAAATTTGACAATGCCACAATTTTTGGCTTTGTTATTTGGCACTAGGCTAGCCTAAAACATTTTGGTAGTAATCCAACTAACCATGCATCTCTTCAAAAATTTTGCCTGCCAAATCTTGCGACTGGCAAAAAAAAAAAGAGTCAACGTTAGCAATTAATGGTAAAGAACAAACAAGTATTAATTAGATAGATTAGGCCAGGTTTGTATTCATGAAGATAAGGATTGTCTAGAGTTTTTGTTTTGTTTTTCTTTTTGTGCCTCTTCATTAGTGGAAACCGTATTTGTGGGGTTTTCGATGATGATCAAGGAAAACTTATTTGTTGAGTTGTTGCTGATACAATCGATATTGTCTCTTTTGGGCGCAAGTCGTCAGTTTGTTTTTTGTGATGCCGGTCGCTGATTTGTCCAGTTGAAGGACCGAAGATTGTGGTCAATGTTCATTCTCATACCTTTGTGCATGTCAGAGTTTATCAGTGTTGTGGCTGCAAGCGTCTTTATTCTTTGTTGACAGGTTAAATGTCTTATTTCCCTATAACAATAAGATTGTAATGTAATCAACCTTGTTTGGGAAAAGAAAAACTATTTAAAGAGTACATCATATGTCCAACCTTTTTTTACACAGAATTCTCTGCATGATCTATGTTAACGATAAACGAGCAATATAATCTAAGTACATAGTAGTGCTTGTGTTGATAAGTTGATGCCCTTGTCAGAACTTAACTTCCGTTGGCTATACGGTAAGACCTCTGCTTTCAAATTTTGCGTGTCTCCTGACTTGGTCGCACGCAGTGCCCAATCACGATAGTCACACAAAGATCATTACATTGTGCGTACGTACGACACATGTCGTTGCACTGTGTTCAAATGTACGACAATTCGATAGTTACAGGAAGATATATATATGGACCACAAAAAAATAACTCTAGTTACATTATTTGAAGCCGTTTAACGTCAGACTGGAAACATTTATTGCTGCTGGCAAGCTCAGGAACGTCATGCATATATAACGCAACCGGAGGGGTAGCCACGGCATCGTCTCACAGAGAACCCGGAAGCAAACAAGCAGAAAAGCTGAGCTATCCATGTGGACGGCATGGTACAAAGCGGACAGGGCGCCGGCAGAGCGGGGTCCCGAACCGGCGCGCTGCTCGACCAGCATGTGCCATTGTGTGCGCGCCGGTGCGACCGGCTCTGCCTCGCGCACGAACGGACATTTACGAGCCGGAGCGGCGTCGCCAGCGGATTCCGGGTAAAAACTCTCCTTGCCGTGCTTACTGATCCGTCGTTATACGTTTGGTTCTTCTTTCACGTAGGAGCACGTAGCATCAGGGAGCCATCAGCACACGTGTTGACGTGTAGCTGGGGACGTGAAGGACGTACGTGGCCCCCTCCCTCGTGGGGATGGTGGGGTTGGGCTGGCTGGTGGATATATGTCTTGTCCACCGTCGTCAGCTAGCGCCGGAGAGGAGGGAAATTTACGCAGCACAGTCGCAACGCGTGCGTGCGTGCATGCCTGATGCCTCCCCCGGCCGGAGACAGGGAAGGCCCCATGCTTGCTATGCGCCATTGATGGCCGGCTACCAAAGGTGCAATAGATTAATCGGAGGCAGGAAGTCAAGCTATCATTTAATCCGTTGTCCGATATGTTTGATACTACCCAGCTTCGTTTCTGATTCCCGGCCCAGTACCGGCCAGAGGCATTAGTGACTAATCAAGTTGGACTGATAAATGACAGAAAACTTGGTTGATTCATCACTCCATCACAACTTTATAGCGATGGGGCGTGCATGGATGCCGGAAAACCATCGAGCTCTACCGGAGTGGTGCGGTACGTGCCGCACTGTGCGTCGATTAGAACGCGGCGACGCCATTTAAGCCTTTTTTTTTTCTTTTTCAAGCGCTTTGGCCGGGCGAGCGGTGCTTGTCATCGACAGTGTGCGTGCGGCTTCGTACGCGCGAGCGATCGAGCAACACCGGCCGTGCGCGCAGCTAGCGCCTAGCGCACCACTCGTGGGAGCGGGACAGCGACGCGGCGCGGCCGGGGACATTCCCATCTACCGGCCGGTTTGGCGGCTTCTCCCCTCCCATCTGGTCGCCGTCCGGCTACAGCCGCGTTGCTGGTGCACTGTCCGCCTGTGGCCACTGTGAGCAATTCAACTCTTTCTTCATGCACGTACGCCCTCGGCTCTCTCCCTCTCGAGATGTCGAGAGCTCGGCAACTGCTGTCGCGAGCTGCATGTGCACGAGTGCACGACGGCGAACAGTACGCAGCCGTGCGCCCGTGCGTTAATATACGCGTCAATGTGCCATCGCAACCGATCATGACCAGCTCGGTACAACGGTACTCCTGTACTACTGCGTGTACTTGCACGACGTCACGGTCAGCTTAAGGCGTGTGTAATTGATTTCATCCTTGGTATCGCGTTCCGGCCCAGATGTCTCGGCCCAAATTGGCTGCTTCGGCATGGACGGGTCGTAACACTGGCTCGGTCCACATACATGGGCCCGATTATCGTGTTCCACCCACTTCTCTTGTTTTGAGATGAAAAAGATACATGAACCTGTAAGGCTGTAACATCGTAACGAGAGCTTAGCAATTGATACACCAGTAGCAGTAGGTTGGTTGCACTGGCCATGCGGAATGGACAATAATCGGCTAATCGCTCAAATAAAAAGCACAACTTACTGTACGAGATCAGTTAGAAGAATTTGTTATGGTAGCAATCATGAATGAAGTTTGGTCTGATAAAAAGTTTCCAGGGAGAGAGGGCATTGCAGAACAAGTTAGAAAGAATTATGTATGCTGCTTTTGATATCAGCCAAATGCTAATTAACTGGAAAGATCTGATGAAGGGACCAAAAGCTATCGAGCTCTGTCGTGATTCTCGGCCGGTAAAAGCATAAACGGATGAAAATAGCATCATTAGCATAATCAAATTATTTGAAAGACGCAAATATTAGGGAATGACCTAATATCAAATAATTAGAAGGGGTGAGCCTTCGAACCTAAGTCATCTAGCCCACCACCTTGTGGAGCTAGCTGGAAAACCCTTGGGTGTTTCTCATAATCAAATTATTTGAAAACAACTAACAGGCAAACGACATTATCTGTCATTTAACAGTAGTTCAGAAAGCACGTAAAAAGAAAGGCTACTCCCAGCAGTGAAATTGAGCATGCTCCTCTGCTGGTAAATCAAGTTCCTTGAGGCTGTAAATATAATTTTCATGGTCGTTGATGGCCGGTTTGAGTGAAAACTGTTGTTCCCTTGATTTCAGTTCATACCACATTCCTCATGAGTGTGATCATGTAAAGGGAAGCATTACTCGAATGACTGACGAAATAGCAGAGAACAAATTATGAATCACAACTAGTAGTTCACTTGGCAATTTCACGTAAGTTATCCTGTCCAATTTCGAACAAATCTATAAAGACCATACAATACCACATTAACTTGCAATGTAAACAAGAGTAAACGATTGCGGATCAATGCTGTTTTGTATTGTTGCTATTTTTTCTTAAGATTACCATGGTCGCCGCTGAGCCATCCAAGGTAGCATTCCAAGCCGCCGCCACGCGTGACTTTTTGAAGAGGGAGGCGACGGTAGAGAGATCGATATGCCGTTCGATGGCGAGAGCAATTGCGCCGCCCCACCGGACGGTGCGCTCGGCCTCGGCCACGAACCGGGACGGGAAGAGCGCGCCGGTGAGCGCCATCGGTTCGTCGGAGAGCACGACGTCGAACACGCCGTCGAAGAACGGGAGATTGTGCGGGTCCGCGCGCCTTACCAGGGGAGGGAAGTCAACAAGATCAACGCCGGTGGCGTCCCCAACGCCGGCCACGTGGAGCGCGTCGACCGCCTGCCCCGCGCCCGCGGCCACGCAGAGGACGCGGGACGATCTGCGGAGGAGGCGCAGCCGGCGGAGTCGTGGGAACACGGATGTGGAGAGGGCTGCGCTGCGGCGCCGCCACCGCGGCGAGGACCGGAGCTTGGCGAGGCGGAGGTTGGGGTCGACGACGCGGCGGGACGCAGCGTCGCACGAGGTGCGCGGGAAGGGCGCCAGCGATAGGGACGAATAGGCAGGGGAGCCGACGAAGCAGGAGGAGGACGAGTGGCGGAAGAGCTGCAGCAGCGCGGCGGTGGCGACGGCCGCCAGGGCGATCGACACGCGGTTCAGCAGCCGCCGGACGTGCCCGTCCATGGCCGGCGCGGCGGTAAGTTCGGCGATTGACCAACAGCCGTTGGGCCTGTGTGTTTTTAGATCTGGCAAAGAAAGTTTGTATTGGGCTGGGCCAAATTGCTTATCACTTCAGGCCTAGTTAAGCAGTGCGGCGAACACTTCGCAAACCCTCCCCCCTCTGACTCCAACCCCCGCAAACCCCAATCCGCCGCCGCGGCGATCGCCATGGCCGCCTCCGCCGCTGCTTCCCGCGCGCAACGCCTATCTCGCATCTTCTCCTCTTCTTCTCCATCCGTGCGACCACCCAAGCCCGGGCAGGTCAAGGAAGCACCAAAGCCCGCGCCGACCAAGAAAGCTCCTGCTCCCGGCGCCGAGGCGAACCCCAACTTGCGCCGGAATGCCATCGACGACATCATCAAGGGCCTCTTGCGGGAGCGCGACCCGGACAAGCTGGTGTCCGGGTTCATCGCCGCCTCGTCCACGCACCCGCGCTTCCGTGCCCGGCACCGCGTGTACGACGTGGCCGTGTCCCGCCTCGCGACCTTCGGCCGCCTGGACGGCGTCGAGGCCATCATCGACGCGCAGAAGCCCTTCCTGGAGACCTCCAAGGAGGGATTCGCCGCGCGCCTCATCCGCCTGTACGGCCACGCATCCATGGCTTCCCACGCCGCTGCGACGTTCCATGACCTCCCCCCGCAGCTTAAGTCTACCATGACCTTCAACTCTCTCCTCGCAGCCTACGTCGAGGCTGGAGAGTTCGAAGCGCTTGCCGCCGCGTTCAAGGAGATCCCAGTCTCCAACCCCTCGGTTGTACCTAGCGTGTACTCCTATAACATACTCCTTCAAGCGCTATGCAAGGTGCCCGACCTCTCGGCGGCACTTGATACTATGACACTCATGGAGAAGTCTGGAATTTCACCCGATCTGGTCACTTTCAACACGCTATTGAATGGATTCTACAACCATGGAGACATGGATGGCGCTGAGAAAGTCTGGGAGATGATTACGGAGAGGAATATGGTGCCGGATGCAAAGAACTATAATGCAAAGTTGAGGGGCCTTGTTGCGCAAGGGAGGATTGAGGATGCAGTTGCAGTGGTTGAAAAAATGGAGAAGGATGGACCAAAGCCTGATACAATATCCTACAATGAGTTGATTCGAGGGTATTGCAAAGATGGGAGGTTAGAGGAAGCCAAGAAGCTGTTTGAAGATATGGCAGAAAATGGTTATGTTGCGAATAGGGGGACATATCATACCCTCATACCATGTCTTGTCAAGGCTGGTGAGCTCGATTATGCTCTGAAGTGCTGTCATGAGATATATGGTAAGAACCTTAGAGTGGACTGTTTTGTGCTGCAAGAGGTAGTGACTGCATTGGTCACGGCATCGAGGGTGGAGGATGCCACCAAGATTGTTGAGCTTGGATGGAACAACTCCTACCCACGGAGGATCTTGAATATTCCACATGCTACAGAGAAAAACAAGGAAGAATCAATTTCAGAAGAGGAAGAGGAGCCTGAAAATGCTTGACAAGGATGTACCTCCATGTGTTCTTCTCTGATCAGTCTTACCGGTGAGTGTCGAATTTGATTCCTACTTATTGTACTCCCCTGTTCTGTTGACTTCATACAACAAGACTGCAGGTTCTTATAATGCTTTATTAAGGCCCTTTCTAGAATGCATAAATTCGTCATGATTTTCATGAAACAGCTTAATTCCTGCAAAAATTGGGAAATTTCCTGTATTCCAGAATGGTTTAAATAATTGTTTCTTGCTTCTATGGAACATCATAAAACCTACCTATCTGTTATTCTGTTTTACAAGATATTTCCAGCTAGTTTTTGTTCTTACATATGTTGTGTGGCCATTGCAGATTTGCCTCATCTGAGATGTATTTGTTTTTGAATAAATTTCACATTGGGCCACATGTTTTGACCAAAGTTTCATAATGTACCAGGGCTCTACCAATGTTTGCGCTCAACACCACTTATCTTTACATTACTTTGTGGTTTGGACTAGGGATAAGGATACCAAGAGAATATTTGAGAGCACTTCATGCAATTAACACAGTAATGTATATAAAAAGGCAAAAGATTGTATATTTTCTTCATTCTAATCAACTAGTTATACTTATATTTCATTTTTATTCATTCTTCCCTGTGTAGATTAATTAATTTGTGCCCTTTTTAGGCATGTTCACGTCTCTGTTTTATGAGAACAGCTGAAAATTGGTTTTTGATTTGCTAAAAGAAACCATTTGATGGGATTATCTAAATATAATTATCTTAGTACTATGAAACACTAAAAAAAATGATGGTTTGGGTTAGCTTTTCTCTCACATATTCCCTTCATGTGCTCAACCTAGTCCAAACTGCCAAAAAGTGCTAAGTTATGTGGTGTTAAGTGAAAAGATTGGTCCATTGTGAAACTGTTGTCAAAATATATGGCCCAATGTGAAATTCACTCTTTGTTTTTTTTGTGTGTGTTTACAGTACTTCGTAACTATTATTTTCATATATCTGCCAAATAGATGATCCTTAGTGCTGATTGGGAATTTCCACCTTGAAATATGGATAATTGATTGCTTTGGAATGCATGAAGTTAATAGGTTGCCTATCAGATTTTAATAGGTCGATAGTTATACTAGTTTGTTAAGATTCACCTCTTTTGCAGAATAATTCAATTGACTGCCAATTATGTTGTTTTCATTTGCTGTACGCTTGTATTGATGCTTGTTTATCTACCCCTTCTTTAAACTGATCTTTTGTATTTGTCAGATAATTGGCCTGTCAAATAGTGAGAAGCAAACAAATATATCGTATAAATTAGGATAGTAGGTGAATTACCAATTTCTCACACTTTAGACTCTTTGCTGTTTAATAAGGGGACTTTTTTTCTGAGAGAGGTAAGTTGCCCTGCTAGGGTAATCACTAATCACACTGAGCCTGTGTGAACAAATGGGATTATTTTTTTTCCTGATGAAATGTGCTGCAATATGATTCTGCTAGGTTTTGAAATGATCCTTAAATGTTTCCAGGAGTTCATGCAAATGAGGAAAAAATGTCTGATGGGCGCACTGGAGTATAAAAACAGCGGAAAAGCAAGACCATTAGATAGGCAAACGGACAATTTTGTTAGTGGTTATTATATTTCGTTTATGAGTTAAGGAGCAGATGTTTTGTTTGAGTGACAATTATTTTTTAATCAAATTTGGACTGGCTATTAAATGGTCAGATTTGTCTGCCTTCAAACAAGGATAGCAACAAATATGTTATTGAAGCTCAAATGTGTCCAATGAGATATCACTGTCCTTTTTCCAAAAAAGTAAAGAAATGCAGTGGTATATGATGTGATGATAAAATAGAATAAGTTGCATGAGAAATTTCTATTATAAAACTGTTTTTGGCAACTTCACCTCTAGAACTAAGTGTTAGTCAAACACCCTTTCAGAATTACTTGTTTGTTCTTACCAAACTTTGCATTTCCAGGATGCAATTGACTTTTTTGTGTGTTTTGCAGATGGTTATCATTTTGCTATAGTATACTAGTCTGCTGTTGCGGACATTGGAAGTATCTCATATTGTCACAAATGAGATGTCGGGTGTGTATTTGTCTCTATCGCTATATTCTGGAAAACTAGAAACATCTGAGCTATGTTGTTATTCAAGCCTTCCACAGGTGAGCTCACCTATGTAATAAGCTTGTTTGTCCAATACTTCCTTCATTCCAAAATATAAGGCATAACCACTTTTTTTTCATTGTTTCATAATATATAAGGCGTGCAATTAACTAGCATATGTCCCTCCCCTTTAATTTTTTTTTTAATCCTCTACCGTCAAGATCTCTAATCTCATTGGATGCATGCATAGTATTTATTGGAGTGGTTCAAATAAGAAGATGATAATATTTTTTTCTTGGTCTTTGCGTTAGTGGTGGTTGCGTCTTATATTTTAAAATGGAGTAATTATTTTCTAGGTATCATTTGTCATCTCACTGCCTGAGCACTCCAAAATTGTGATCTAGAAGAAATTCTAAAGTTGTGGCCATTTACCACAACGCATTGTGGGCAGTTAATTAATAATATATCAGTAAGCAAAAGATAGCCCAAGAACTGTTTAAAATAGTAAAACAAAAACTCCCTCTTCTTGTCCTTATCTTTATAGGATCACAAATATTTCCATTTTGGGGGGCTAATTTCAAATTGTCAATACAAAATGTCCATGTTTAAGTTCAAGAGTGTCCTGGAATTTTATGTGGGTTTCTGAAATCATTTCTATTTTTTAAAAATCTGAATGGTAGTTGTTCTGATAAAACGTGTTTGAAATACTCTGTTCGAAATATCTGTGTTTTCTTGGATTTTGTTGTTTTCTGCTACTTATTCTTTCAGTTTTTAATGGAAAGTGTGCTATGGCAAATACCAATAATTTGTCTTCTAGCCAAGCAAAAGGTTTGGAGTGCCCTAATTATGTTTGGAAAGAAGGATGTCTGGATTGGTGCAGATGTTTTACAATTGAATAGTTCTAGATCTTGTGCAGATGTCTGGATTTTGTTGGTGCAGATGCTTTGTTTGGCATGGGCCAAAATGTAACGATTCCTGTCGATGGGCTAGGATTTGAGCTTAATTCTCGGCCTCTAGTGAACTGCCGGGGACCGCGCCAAACAAGAAGGTCAGTCCAGGTCTCCAGGACATGTTTGGTTCAGTTTCAAATGTTGCCGCACCATTGTTGCCAAAACAAAAATGATGACATGGAATCTCAACAGTCATGTGCAAAATTGTTTTACTTCCTCCGTTCCAAAATATAAAGGATTTTGGATGGAGATGTGTCCCGGATTTTGGATTTGGACAGGAAGTTTGTCCATATTCTAGTACTAGGATGTGTTCCGTCCATCCAAATTCTCTTATATTTTGTGACGGAGGGAGTAATTGAAGTGTTTAAGAAAATGTGCTAAATTCTATGACTTTTTAACCTGTAAACTGCAAGGGATCTTATGTGGTTTGAGTTTCATTCAACAAAGATATGTAGAGGGAAAAAAATATGTTTTTGACAATTTGGCTCTGAACATTGTAGGTAGGGGGTGGCAACTGGGTGGGCTGGATTGGATAAGAATGCCCCCCATCCTCACTCCCTGCATTCTTGCCCTATCTCCCACCTGCAAAGCAAGTCAGGAGAGAAACACCATTAGTCCTCTCTCCCGTAGGGGACCCGGTGGGTGAGCGGAGTCACTAACATTCGTTGCAGGACGAGGATGTGGTGATGAGGTGACAATGACTAGTGACTGGTGACTAAGTTAATGACTATTGAGAGAGATGACAACGGTTAGGGATGGGGATGAGAGTCATCGTGGCGTTTGAGGGCAGTGATGACGGATGAGGATGTGATGAGATGGCGTCGTGGTGATGGCTATGGGCAACATCGATGTGACGAAGGCTAGGGTTGGTGAGGAGCTGACGATGGTTTGCGGCGACGTGATGGGGATGGGGATAGGCAGGTGACATTGCGGTGTCGGCTGAGGGTGGGGATGGCATTGGCTAGGGGCGATGACTATGTGATGAAGATTGCTCACGGCGGCTGGGTGGAAGGTTGAGAGAATTAGGGTTGGGGGATTAGATTGAGTTTATGGCTTTGTTTAAAGTAGTTTCTGACAACCGTAGCTTCTCTTAAAAACAAAAGGTTTCTCCTAAAAACAAAAGCTCCTCCCAAACAGTTTTGTTTTTCATCTAGATTCTGAGAAGTTGTAGTTACACAAGCTAGAAAATGAACTAAACGGTAGACCCAGCTTCTTCATATTCTCATAAGCTTGTTAGACCTAGCTTCTTCGTATTCTCATAAGCTTGTTACTCTGTACCAACCAACTACTTTTTAGAATTTTAAACTCTCCTAAACAACGCATATATATGGGGAATAAGTTCACTTTGACTCTTTTAACTAGTGGTCGAATCTGATCCGTATCCCTGAACCATACCGGATATCTCGACCCCCCCCCCCACACACACCCCTTTAAAACGAGTGCAATTTGACTCCCTCGGCGATTTTGGAGAGCGGTTTCGCTGACGTGGTGACTACTTGGTGTTGCATGGCATTAGAATTTAAAAAATATAGAGATAATCCAAAAAGGTGCCATTGACAAACGTTCAAATCCAAGAAATGCCATTGACAAGTGTGAATTCCAAGAAATGCCATCATAAAATCGATTTTGTCTCAAAAATGCCATCACCGTTAGTATTCCGTCTATCCCGTGTCATTAAGTGCTATAGGTGAACAATGTATTTAATGGCGCGGAATTGACGGAATACTAACGGCGATGACATTTTTGGGACAAAGTCGTTTGTAAGATAGCATTTCTTAGAACTTACACTTGTCGATGGCATTTCTTGGATTTGGACGCTTGTCAATGGTATTTGTTGGTTTATTTCAAAAATATATATGGATCCATTTGTCAATCACACGAAAAATGGTGGGACCCACTAACATGTGGGGCTCACAACCATCCTCTTCTTACCTTCTTCCTCCTCCCCCCCCTCTCTCCCTTCTATCTTTCTCTCTCTCCCTTCCTCTCCCCCTTTGCCGACCTGGAGCGGTAGGCGGTGGCGGCGGCGGTGGGCGAGGGCTGGAGCGGCGATGACGGCGAGCAAGGGCCAAGACGAGAGTGACGGTAGCGGGCGGGTGAGGGCTAGAAGGGAGAAGGGAGAGGCGGCGTCGCTGAGATCTCACTCGCCCACCGCCGCCGAGCTCGTGAGCGTCCACCATCCATGGCGGCGCCGGCCTCTCCACACCACGCTGCCGCCGGAAGGGATGGGACCCACGTGCGCGAGAGCGTGACCCACGTAGCTGGCCACCGACGGGCACCCTGGGTCAGCACACGGCAGCGCGAGTGCGGGAGAGGCACCGGCGGCGGCGGCGTCAACACGCTCGGCGGCGGCGGCGGGAACTACGCGGCGGCCTCACGGGCGGAGCTGCACTCGGCCATCTTCTACCCAAGGCATAGCAGCTCGGCGGCCAGCTTCTCCCTTGCCGAAGCACCGCTGCCGTCCGAGGCTATCGCCGAGATCTCGCCCGCTCACCGCCACTGCTCCGGCCGTCGTCCGCCCACCACCACCGCCGCTCTCGTCTCCGACCTCCTCGACCGTGGCCACTGCCTGGGACGCGCCGCCGCTGCTCCGGCCCTCGCCCACGGCTGCCGCTGCTCTTTGCCGCCTGCTGTCAGCTTCGTGGGAAAAAGAGAGAGAACGGAGGGAGGAAGAAGAAAGGAAGGAGTGGATGGTTGTGGGGGTCCCACCATATTTTTTTTTTGTGAAAGACAAATGAATCCCATATATATATTTTAAAATTCTAATGTAATATAAATGCCATGTCAACGCCACGTTAGCGTAAGATCGGGTCAACACCGCCACTTAGGCACCATGTTATTGAAATCGCTCTTCAAAACCGTCGGGGGAGTCAAATTGCACCGGTTTCAATAGTTGGGGGGTTGAGATATTCGGTATTGTGGTTTAGGGATATGGATCAGATTCAGTCACTAGTTAAGGGAGTCAAGGTGAACTTATTCCTATATATGGTCTGTCAAGGAATAAGTTCACTTTGTGACTCTTAAAAGTGATCGAAATCTAATCCATGACCCTGAACCGCAAAACCAGATATCTCGACCCCCCCAACTTTTAAAACCGGTGCAATTTGACTCCCTCGGCAGTTTTGAAGAGCGGTTTTGCTAATGTGGCTCCTATGTGGCGGTATTGACTGGGTCTTTCTTACATGTGGCGATGACGTTGCGCTTATGTGTATTAGAATTTAAAAAATTTATGGGCCCACATGTCATTTAAAAAAATGTGGGGCCCACCAATACGTGGGGTTCACTGACATGTGGGGCCCACATGTCATCCTCTCTCTGTCTTTCTTTTTCCTCCCCCTCTTTCTTTCTTCTCTTTTTCTTTCTCTCTCTCCCCTTCGGTCGGCGCCGACGAGAGAGTAGCAGCTGCGGCGCCATCGCCCACATGGAGCGGGGAGTAGCAGCGGGCGATGCCTCCTCCCCAGCGGCGGCGGTCGGTGCCTCCTCCAACCCCATCAGTGGCGTCGGCTTCGGCGGTGGGGGTGGCCAGGTCGGGGTCCAAGACGGGTGACTTCTTCAGCGGCGAGGGTGGCCGGGTCAGGGTCTAAGACTGGCGTCGGCTTCTTCTTCAGCGGGCGACGGCGCCGAGCTCTCGCGCCTCCTCACCTTGGCCGAGGCCGACCTCCACGCCGGCCGCCTCCGCGCTGCGCACAAGCACGCCCGCCGAGCTCTAGTGCTCCCTTGCCGAGCTCCATCCCGCCGCCGCCTCTCTCCCTCGCCGAGCTCCCCCTCTCTCTCCCTCGCCGAGCTCCATCCTACTGCCGCCTCTCTCTCCCTCGCCGAGCTCCATCCCATCGCCGCCTCTCTCTCCCTCGCCGAGCTCCCTCTCCGTTGCCGGCGGCTCACAGGAGGGGAGCAGCCAACTGGAGGAGGAGGAGCCGTCCCACTTCATCGCCGCCCTCCCAGCCGTCGCCGCCGTCAACACTCCGGACCCCGCCCGCCGCCATCGGGACCTGCTCGCCGAAGGGGGAGAGAGAGATAAGAGAGAGAGAGGAACGATGAAGAAGGGTTAGATTGACATGTGGGCCCCATAAATTTTTCTTTTGTGTGGATGACGAATGGGTCCCACGTGTATGTTTTCAATGCTAATGCCACCTATACGCCACGTCAGCAGAAGACTAGGTCAACACTGCCACGTGGACGCCACGTCAGCAAAACCGCCCTCCAAAACCGCCGAGGAAGTCAAATTGCACCGGTTTTAAGAGTTGGGGGTTGAGATATCTGGTTTTGTGGTTCAGGGCCACGGATTAGATTTCGATCGCTTTTGAGGGTTACAAAGTGAACTTGTTCCGCCTGTCAATTACACCACCGAATGGGCCAGCTGGGCCTTCAAGTTCTAATGGGCCGGTTTTAGATTGGTTTCTTATACCTGGGGCCCCGCGGGATGATCCATGTCTATCATCCCTCCCCCAGCAGAAATTGTCACTTCAAAATGTAGGATGCAATTAGTATATTCCAAGCGATGCAGTGACAGCTCAGTCTACTAGCCTGATTGAGGGTATTGTGCTCAGGCTTTGCTCTCTGTGCACCCCCACAGGCCACAACGCAGTGACGCACCAACACATCTTTAGCTAGCAACTCAATGTTTCTCATTGTAATCAGTAATCGGTCAAATCCAGTACCAATCCAGTTAGGCAGGGCGGGCATGCGAGTAAACAAATACTTCCTCCGTTCCAAAATAAATGCAGCCATAAGTTTCCGCGCCCAACTTTGATCGTCTGTCTTATTTGAAATTTTTTTATAATTAGCATTTTTCTTGATATAAGATGATAAAACATGAATAGTACTTTACTCGTGACTTATGTTTTTATTTTTTTAAAAAAAAAATTAAATAAGACGAATGGTCAAAATTAGACACGGAAAACTATGGCTGCACTTATTTTGGGACGGAGCGAACAGTAGGAGTAGTACAGCTAGCGAAGCTAACCCCGGAAACGATGCCAGTTAGGAGTAATAATTTGGTGTGCCAAACTTGACATGGATGGAAATGTAGACAAGACTTTCTGGGAATCGTTAGCGCACGAGGAGGAAGGACACAACTAGCAAGGCAGCGAATTGAACACAGAATTGTAGGCATGCGTTCGTGCAGTCAATGCATATGAATGCGGGTTCATGGTCAACGGGACAGACAGAGATTAATGCCGTGTTAATGAGTCCGTGCCTGTCCAAAACACGTAGAGTTGCACACACTCGTATCATATGGCTCTTGTCACTAGGTGGAAACATCTAATTATCGGCTGGTCATTAATGGGATACACTAATGCACTGCGAGGAGGTGAGATTCAGCAATAGCAATACACTACGAGGGACCATGTCGGGCCGGAAAGCCCGGCATGACGGCATCGCGTTGCTCTGATGTGCCACTGTTGCTGCAGACACCCAAGACAGAAAGAGCATTCAATGGGCGGTTCAGATGGCTGGTAGCGATCTAGAGGCGATAGCGACGTGCCTTTCCTGCACTTGCTCCGTTAACTTGAGGGGGGTTTAGATGGGGCTAAAAACTTTGTAGCCCATGTTACATCGGATGTTTGGGCGCTAATTTAGAGTATTAAATATAGACTAATAAAAAACTAATTTCATAAATAAGAGCTAATCCGCGAGACGATTTTTTAAAGCTTAATTAATCCATAATTATCAAAAGTTTACTGTAGCAACACATTGTCAAAATCATGGCGTAATAAGACTCAAAAGATTCGTCTCGTGAATTAGTCTAAATTTATAGAATAGATTTTATAATTAGTGTATGTTTAATACTCTAAATTAATGTCCAAACATCCGATGTGACATGGACTTAGAATAAGTCCCTATAAAACAAACAAACTCTTGGTTGCTTGCGGTTGCAGCAGCAAATGATAAAGATTTGCTCAGGAGCTCCACAGAAAGTCGCAGCGATTTTGAAACCATATGGTGTGGTGTGGTGTGGCACTCGAGACTTGATAGCAGAACAATTTGAAACGCAAAATCGAGATGGCCCTGCCTCAGGCAGTCCATTCAAAGACGACTGTGCTAAAGTCAATTTGGTCGTGTGATAGTAGTACGGAGTAGTACTCACTCTGCTCAAATGGGCCATCACATACTTGCATATGTCAGGAAGATAAACTATCCCTGTGTTGTTTCTCTTGTTCCCCGCACAAATACTCCCTCCTTTTTTTTAATACATGACACTATTAACTTGCAGACATATATTTAATTATTTATCTTTTAAAAAAATTATGCAAATATGCAAAAATATAGGTAGTAATGTTTAAAATACCTTTGAAAACAAATCATAAAAAACAATTACATTTTTTATAATAAGATTAATGGTCAAACATTAATATATTTTTTAAAAGGTAAATTTTGCTACAAGACATTACGATTTCGCGGTTTTAGCCGTGGAACACTGTCCAAAGCCACTTTTGGGGAAAAACACTCCATAAACGTGTTAATTTGCTAATGAACACCGCGCCGATTAAAATAATGATTTCCGGTTGAGGAGAGAGAAATCACGTAAAATATCAAAAATGCCCTTGGACCCACATGTCAGCTCTCCATCTCTCTTCCTCTCTTTCTCCCTCCTTTCTCTCTTCTCCCCGGTCACGGTTTGCTCGGCAGGGCGCGGGCGAGGGGCAGCGGCGACGCCCGAAGTGCGCGTGGCCCGAAGTGTTTATGGAGTGTTTTCCCCCAAAAGTGACTTTGGACAGAGTCCCACAGTTAAAACCACGAAATCGTAGTGTCCTTTAGCAAAATTTGTCTTTTTAAAAATGAACTATGTACACTGTACAGTAAACTATTTCCTGTGAATAAACTGCTTTTCACAATGACCTGTTTTACTCTGAAATCATCATGTGTCAACAAGACAAGCATGCACGGGAGGACTGGAGGAGAATGTTATGCCAGTAGCCAGTAGCTACTAGAGAAAGAAGACAAGATCGAAGAGCACGCATGAAAAGTATTCCAAGTAACCGAAAATGAGTAAGTAACAAAACTAATGGTTAGTTTCGCTTCACGGTGCATGGTTGATTCGCTGTCGTCTGGTAAGCATGCAAGTAGATGGCGAATCGATCCACTCTTACACGTGACCCCCCACGTACGCTCACACAAGTATGGACAAATGCATCTGATGGATACTAGCTCATACAGAAGAGACGGCAACAAGCTGGCAACCGATCGGTAGCTAGTACACGAAGGAAAGAATGGTTAATTACTTGATTAATTAGTCGTTTGCAATGCATGACTCTGGAGTTAAGCCTTGCAGATGACCACGAAGCACGGGAGCAGCGCCCTCGGGTTCAGCAGGTAGAGCTCCTCGATGTTGGAGTAGGGCCCGACCTTGCCGGCGAGCGAGTCGAAGCCGGTCTGTCCGGCGAACTCCTTGAGGTTCTCGAGCGGCTTGTGCACCCTGCCGGCGATGACCCTGCACACCAGCAGCGCCTTGCGCGTCGCCGCCGGGTCGTCGCCACCGACGACGGCGCCGGCGGAGGCCTCGATGGACTCGTAGGCGCGGCCGCTGGTGGACGTGGTGAAGACGCCGACGCCGGCCTTGCCTTCCTTCTTGGCGGAGAATCCGTGGCGGATGATGCGGCAGACGGCGCACTTGTCGGAGGCGCAGAGGCTGGAGGAGCCCGCCGCGCCGCCGAGCGCGCAGGAGAGCGTGGCGCCGTGGAATCGGAGCAGCTCGTTGCCGTCGGCGAGGCAGCGCGGGTGCTTCTTGGGCAGCTTGCTCGCCTTCAGCTTCACCGCCTCACGGTACTCCTCGAAGCGCGCCAGCGTCCGCTGCGTGTTGTGCACCTTGAACACACGCTCGATCCGCACGCAGCTGCTCTCCGACTTGAGCAGGCTCGTCCGGCAGATGATCTCCACGATCTTCCTCGACGAGTCCCCTTCCACCAGCTCCGTCACTGCCATCGATCCCGTCACATACATACACACATGCATTCAAGACCATTGGTCAGTGTCGACTCTGCAAGATGCTTAATTGAGACTTAATCATGCTAGTACTATCACTTTACAAGTTAGTTTTACTACGATAAATGGCTGGGATGCAGTAATGGAGGAAAAAAGCATGGAGTGATTACTCCCTACTTTATTTTCTACTGGTACAACAAAATGAAAGATCTAGCAGGATCTCTGAACACCAGGTTCGCAGTTATAGCAAAGTTGAAAGCATGGATTCGCATAAAGGAGAAGAAAGCAGATGTTTTGAGGAACCTAGCTGGTGAAAGTGAAATTGAAATCCATACAGGTAAAGTTCTGAGCTAAAGGAACACACATGCACTGCACTTTGAGGTAAAGAAATGTCTATTGATAGCTAAAGTTCCACACCGCCTGACCGCCCATAACATTAACAGGAAAACATGCACTATTGGGATTAACGTGCTCTGGAAATGCATGAAAAAAAAGAACAGCATTTTTCCCGAACGACGAGGAGATCCACCACCGCCTGTGGGTGTACCGTGTACCGCAGTACCGTGTACTATGAGCTGCAGTGCAAATGTCACCCTCACCTGCATGCTTGGAAAGGTGGTGCGCCTCCAGTGCCTCCCACTTGCTGAACTGCTCACCGCAACGGTGGCAGCTTAGGCCGCCGCCCTTGCCAAAGCTCTTGACGGCGTCCTCGCAGGACGCGCGGTGAGCGGTCACCCCGGCCGCGGCGGCGTCCCTGCTGTCCAGCAGCACATTCGGCGACCTCGGAGGCGTGCACCGCATGCTGCCCCGGCACGAGCCGCTGTACTGCAGGCCGTGGCTCCAGCCGGGCCCCGGGGTGCCCGGCCGGAGCGTGCCAACGAACGACGACACCACGGCGCCGTCGCCGTCCGCCTCGTGCGGCGACGCGAGTACGCCGCCCCCCGCCGCCGCCGCCGCCGCGAGGCCGCCGCAGCCACCGAAGCCGGTGATCTTGAGCTCGCAGCGGGAGTTGGTGCTGAGCACCACCTCGTGGGCGATGGGGTTCAAGAACTCGCTGCTGCCGATGGACCTCGGGCTGCAGCTCGGCGGCCGCTCCGGGTGGCGCTTGCTCCCGTGGATGACGTCCCGCAGGTTGGCTATCGACCGGGAGCAACCCGACCGCGGCGCCGCGCGCTTGGTCACAATCGCCGAGAGGTGCCCGCCACCGCCCGCAGCGGCGGCGGCGACGGCCTTGGGCCTCGGCACGTGCACCTCCGACGGCTCGGACCGGCAGTGCAGCGACCTCTTCAGCGCGAACCACACCGTCGGTGCCGGGGCCGCGGCCGCAGGCGCCGAAGCAGCCTTCTCATCCTCAGCCCGGCCGCCGGCGACAGCGCTGGCACGGCGCCTCCTCTCGCCCATCCCGTCTCGACGCGCGGTGCTAGCCACTAGCCAGCTATCTGCCGCGCCCGTGACGACTGCGTCGGTCGGTCGGTCACCGTGGAGTGCGATATACTTATGGCAGCCACAGGCGCAGCAGCAGCAATAGCGGCATCCGAAGCGAGAGAGAGAGAGAGCGCGGCGGCACAGGAGGAGGACGCAATTAAATCTTGGGGTTGGCGGTAGTAAAGGCTCACCACCAACTGCTCGCTCTGCACGCTGAGCGCTCTCTCTCTTTGGTTTCGCGCGCGTTCTGCTGTCTTGTGACTCGCGTGGGAGATATGGAGTAGCTCAGCCAAGACAGCGAGGTTAGTTCCAACTTCCAACCAGAGGAGCAAAGGAAAAATGCGAGAGACGACGTAGACGGGGACCGAGACAGAGAGGGGGAACTACGCGAGTGAGAACAAATCTCGAATTGTAGGTGGGGGGCGGAGCCGCGGAGGCGGGGAAGGGACAGGTGTGGGGGCACTCAAGGCAAGGGGGACGGCCATGATGGCGAGCAACCGAAAGAAATCGAAGCGACCGTGTTATACGTGGTGCGAGGCACGGGTGTGTGTAGGCTCGTTCCTTGTACGAGCGTTGGCTCGATCGGAGATGGGAAACTCGCGGCGTAGCCGCTTTGAGTAGAAATGGATCGGTTTGGGTTGGACACATACGTAGAGTAGGTCCTTTTCCCTCGTCAGCATGCGTGTCCCAGTACAGGTACCACGTGTGTTGGCGAAAGTCCTACTGGGCGATCTTTGGCCATCCCTCTCCTCCACGTGTTTTTATTTTTTATTTTCACCGTATTACTTTTTTATTTTAGTAAATTTATGCACCTAAAGTTTGTACATCTCAAGTTTACACATCTAAAGTTTAGAGAACCAAAGTTTATAAGACAAAAGTTTATATATCCGATTCAAATATTTTTTATATATAGTATTTCTATACATCTAAAGTTTATACACCTAAAGTTTATAGACCCAAAGTTTATATACCCAATTCAAATTTGAATTTGAATTATACCCGATTCAAATTTGAACTTGAATTCAAATATTTTTTATAAATAGTATTTTTATACATCTAAAGTTTATACACCTAAAGTTTTAGACCCAAAGTTTATAAGTCAAAAGTTTACATACCCGATTCAAATTTGAATTTGAACTCAAATATTAGTTTATAGGCCCAAAGTTTATAAGTCAAAAGTTTACATACCCATTTCAAATTTGAATTTGAATTCAAATATGTTTTATATATAGTATTTCTATATATAAATTTTTCCAACTTTGTTTTTTTATTTGTTTAAAATTTATGGTGTAGTAGGAAGAGAAGAAGTAGAGGTGAAAGGGGGAGAGCCCCGTGTGTTGGTGCAGTCTTTTGAAAACAAACTCCGACTGTCTGGGAAGTTTAGTGTTAAGCGTGCCTGAAGCTATGAGAGATATTTAGGCATTAGAATGGATGATCAGATACAATACGGAAGCTATAGTTCTTGCCTAACGGCGACCAGTAATCTATGCTTTCTATAAAGTTAAATCCCACTAAATCTAAAGTTCAACATGCAACTATGACATATCATCACCCACTGACAATAATTACATATTTAATCTCATACAAGCATACAACATATCTTCAATTTATTTAATTATATAAATCAAAATACAAGCATATCCAATCATCACCCCTTGTATCATTTGCACAATATTTTAACGATACTATCTATCACATCTACAATATTTAACATATACTTACAAGGGATCATTCACCCGGCTAAGTCAGGCGTTGATGTGTCTATGTCAACTGCTAACAACATAAGAAAAAAAAAAGAAAGAAATGTTATCAAGTCTACTATATGTGGAATTTTGATTGAAATTTCTTTCTGTTTTTCCACTATAGGCATTTCTTTTTTTTTTCTAATCAACATTTTGCATTGATCACCAAATACCCCTTCCCTTTAGTCGATAACATCGGTTACTGCTTGATTAGAAAATACATGTGAAATTCGATTGATTTATTGAAAAAACTGAATTTTAGTTTTGTTTTCTTTTAACTTGGATGGTTTATTGGGTGGGCGAATAATCATAAGAATGCCGGGATCATCATCGGCATGCTCATAATAAAGCTAGGGTTTATCAACCTATATACGTGAATTTCTTAAAGAGGACTAGTTTACCTCTCTATCACAATGCTTAATACACCCTATCAGAACCCTAATATCATTATTAGGCGGTTGTTGTCGTATTTTGTCATTCTTGCCTGACTAGTTAAAAACCGTCATCGGGGTACCTTTTCACATTCCCCTTGTCCCATAATGTTAACTAGTTGGACGGCCCGTGCAATTGTACAGTTAGTATCAATTTAAAATTATCTATTTTTTACACATAATTTTATTTAAAATTATCATTCTCGTGATTCTAAAAATTTTATAGTTTTTAAAAGCCATGTCAGTCACTGCCCCTTACTCCTTTGTCACATTTTTATTTGCTTATTTGATCTACCACATCTATTCATCCTCTTTAAAATTTTAAAATATTAGGCCTTATAGTTTTTAGAGTTCATTGTTTTGTTGGGTTTCGTTTTCATAATTTTTAGAAGTATCGTCAAGTATCGCCAATTTAATGCCCTATGGCTCATTCACTGCCACCTCTCTTTATTGCCATTGGGATTTTTAAAATCGAACATATATAATTTTTCTTTGTGTTCTTTTTTACCTTTTATAAGTATCGTCAAATCGTTAGTGGCTTCGCCACTGTACTCCTCTACAGCCCGCCCACTGCCACCCTTCTTATTGTTATTGAAATTTTAAAATCGAACATGATTATCATTGGGGTTTATTTTACTCTCCATAAGTCCTGTCAACCATCGTGACCATGTTGCATTACGGCATGCCCATCGTCACTGGGATTCTATTTGGGGTTTTGTTCATAGTTTTTAGATATCCCATCAACCGCCAACACTCTATTCCTTTGCAGGCCTATTGCTTCTCTCCTCTTTATTGTCATTTGTCATCGTTGTGTTCTAGATGGATTTTTTTTCTAAAATTGCATAACTTTTCATCCCGATAATGTTTATTCATAAATTATATTCCTACTTGAACTCTTATAATTATTTTTCTATTTTTGAAATTTATTTTATTTGTTATTTCGAACTTTAATTAATCTCGTCATGTGTTCTAGATTCTCTTATTTCAATAGTCTTTATTTTTTATTACAAATTTTAGTTATTTATGAAATGTATTCCAGTTGAGCTCTTATTTTTATTTTTTATTTTCTGAATTTATTTTATATTTTATTTTGAATTTTAATTAATCTCATATTGTGTTCTATACAGACTATTATTTAATATTTCTTTTTTATTTCCAATTTCAATTGCTTCAAGTTTGTATTTCTACTTGAACTATATTTTTTATTTTTCTAATTCTGGATTTTATTTGATTTTTTTAAATTTTAATTAATATCGTATTGGTTTCTTGTATGGACTCTTTTTTCAATATTGCTTATTTTTAATTTAGAATTTTATTTATTGTCAAATTGTATTCCTACGTGAACTCTTCTTTTATATTTTTATAATTTTGGATTTTATTTTATATTTATTCTGAATTTTAATTAATCTCGTAGTGGGTTCTTGTATAGATTCTTCTTTCAATATTCCTTATTTTTAATTCCGAATTTCAGTTATTTTTAAATTGTATTCGTACTTGTACTCTTCTCTTTTTTTTTCTAATTTCAGATTTATTTTATTTTTATTTCAAATTTTGATTAATCTCGTATTTGGTTCCTATACGGACTCTTCCTTCAATATTGCTTATTTTTAATTTCGAATTTCAGCTATTTTTAGATTGTATTTCTATTTGTACTCTTCTTTTCTTTTTCTTCGGTTAATGTGGGAATTTCTAGCCCCCACAGCAAACGTGATGCATTCTTTCAAGACTGTTTTAATAATATAATAGATAGATAGATGTCTTCCCACATGAGAGCAGTCAGTGGTTTAGATTTGCACGTGCGCGCGCATGAGACTCCGATATAAGAAAACATATACATGTCTTCAATTTACCTATTGTTTCTGAGTTGTCCTCTAAACTCTTCATCTATGAAGGGTCAGAACTAGAATTTTCTTCAGATTGGGACTCAATTGATATTTAGACTTAGAAGAAGGGCAGCTCACTCCTCTCTAGCTATCTCTGCCCATGTCCTACATTATATCATCTCTCATGTATAAGGTTACCGTAAAAGTATATGCAAATATCACTAGTAGAAACTGTTTGAATTATTGATTTATGTATGCTTTATAGTAATCAAATATTTGTTAATGTTATAGCTAATAGTTTATGTGGTGGTATAAATAGGTATGGGTCTTAAAGGACCTAAAATAAAAAGAATCTTAAAGGTATTCTCGCAAAAATAAAAAGGTATGGTGTAGATCATTTCTAAGGCTATTGTAAAGATTGGCATCCATCACGTGTCGAGACGAAACACTCCTTCAATAAAAATATATTCATGTGATAGTATCTGCAGTTCTTCGCTATAAAAGTTCGTGAGATAACTGATAATAAAACTAAAGAATCAATACCACTCGCTCATTCTTTTTTTCTTTCTGAAGAGTCGCTCATTCTAAAGAAATCCGGCCCTCCGATTAAGGGTGTGTTTAGTTCACGCTAAAATTAGAAGTTTAATTGAAATTGGAACGATGTAACGGAAAAATTGAAAGTTTGTGTGTGTAGAAAAGTTTTGATGTGATGGAAAAGTTAGAAGTTTGAAGAAAAAGTTTAAAACTAAACTCAGCCTAAAGCAAATCAACAGAAGCACTGCAGGACATTTTATCATCTAGTGTACAGGAGTGGTACACATCTACAGTAGTAACAGGGGTCCAAAGAGGAGGACCCCATTGCTGATTTGCTGTGCTCTTGCAAACGACACAATGTTGCCGGTTTTTTGTGCCAATCGAGCTGGAGTACTGTTTATCTTGACCAGCCGCGTGCTCTCGTAAAAACGAAGCCCTCGCGTTCGTGAGATATGCGCAACTTGAAAATGGTACTTCCTCCGTTTCACAATGTAAGTCATTCTAGCATTTTTCACATTCATAATAATATTAATGAATTTAGATAGATATATATGTCTAGATTAATTAACATCAATATAAATGTGAGAAATGCTAGAATGACTTACCTTGTGAAACGGGGGAGTATCAGATATGAGCAACTTGTAAATGGTATGCCTGCCGAAAGAAAAAGAAAGAAAGAAAATACTATAATTAAGAAAGATCATCATCAGAGCTCATCACTATCACGGTTTCATCGTCTCAATTGTAACCTGTTGTATGTATTCTGATAAGATTAGCGGGCCATTATCACAGGGACAAATGTTTCTCTCAAGGAGAAAAAGTACTCAGATGTTAGCTAGCCATTTATGCCGGTTTCAATGCGATCAGCTTTAGATGCATGGTACTAGTACTACTGGGGACGACAGTGCAGTACTGTTTGCTGTAATTCAATTTTATGATTTCCTCAGACTGTTTTAAGGTTAATTCATTCATTAACTTGTTTTCTTTAACTGCAAGCGACCTGCGCGTGACTGTGAATGAAACGGACTGTACGCATCGAACCCTTATATAGTAACTTTTGTTTGGAGTTCTGTACCACGAATTCAATTGGTACGAAAGATATTTGTGTTGTTTTACCTGAATCAACCCATTTTGCTGTGTAAAGATCAAACTCCAGAATTAGCTCTGAGGTATGCTTGCATCAGGACGAAATTAGCCAGGCTGTATAAGCACAGAAAGCTCAAAAGATAAATCGATAGAATCCCCGGAACAATCATTGCCTATTCTGTCATCATTTCAGGGGGTGATACCTGATGAGAACATGGGTGAAATTGTCCACCTCTCGAATCGCGAAATCCCCTGAATCAGTGCGGAAGTTGTTTCTTTTTTAAGAGACAGTGCTTAATGCTTAAGGCTGCAACATCAAGTGTAATCGGTAAAAGGAGTTCTAGCCAATTGGCTACAGGCTACAGCCCTTGCAGATCAGTGGTAGGGAAGAAAACGCTCTTGTGTCAAGCGGAAAAAGGAGCCCATCCATACACCTTTTCAGTGAAAATTGAGAGTAGTAAGATCACAGAGTGAGTGGTGGGAGTTTCTGCTTACCGTGGCGTCTCTTCTATAAAATGATACAACCAATTTTGTACGATATGTCCTGATTCTTCAAATACATCTCAGATCTCACAGCACGGTGGCTACTGGCTATATAGTGGCAGTGGGTACCGGATGAGTACCTCCACCTCCAATCAAAGCGGGGTCCCTCATCTCGTCAGGAGGAGTCGAGTTGCGTCTTCCGGCAAGGCGGCAGGTCGGCAGCTAGAGTGGCCGGAACTAGCCGTGCTGACCCCGGCCTGCCGGCAAGCCAACCGATGGCCCTCCAGCTTCAGGTCGTCTTCACCGATAATCTTCGAGCTTTCTGCCCTGTTTCAACTTCACTCTCGTCAGGCTTGAGTTTCAGTTTGCACATCGTGCAAGCGGGAGCGACAGTACTGTACTGTACTACTGTTACAAAGTTACACGGTGTCGCATTATACGTGGTACTAGTACGTGCTTATAGTTTAGTGCCAAGAAATTTGTACACCGCGTGGCATTCAATGACGAAAGATCCTTTCCTGCAACCTTCGTTTCAGCAAGCAAAGCTAGCCCTTTTCCAAGCAACAGTATCATGTCGGAGTACGACGTTCTCATGCAGAGTACAGTACTCCTACAGTTTAGCTCGGTACAGGCGTACAGCTCCTTGAGATGTGAGCGGTGCAGAAAAGGGAAAAGTATTCACAGAGGTCCTGCATGCACATGACTGTCCCATGGGCCATGTCCTGTTTAGGCTTGTGGCACCAAGCGTACCCTCAAGGAATAAGTCCATTTTACCTCCCTCATCTCTTGCGCTTGCGTGAATAACATCCCTCAACCGGAAAACTGGGTATAACGCCTCTTTCTTATCTAAAAACCAGAACAAATCACCTCCCTCGGTGGTTTCAGAGGTGGTTTGTTCTACGTGGCACTTACGTGGCGGTTGACTTCCCATGTGGCATCGACGTGGCACTAAAATAAAACAAACCTAAATGGAACCCACATGTCAGTGAGTAAAACAATAAAATAAATGAACTCGGCAGCGAGCGAGATGGAGAGAGCTCGGCGGCGGCAGGACGACGGGAGCGACGGGACGGCGGGGCAGCGGTAGGAACGTCGGCGGGATCACAGAGCGGCGGGAGCTCGACGGGAGCGATAGAGCAGCGGGAGTGGCGGGGCGGCGGGAGCGGTGGGGCGGCGGGACAGGCGGGGCAGCGGGAGCTCGGCGGGAGCGGTAGGACGGCGGGAGTGGCGGGGCGGCAGGATCTCAGCAGAGCGGTGGGAGCGCTAGGACAGCCGTGATGGCTGCTGCTGCTCGGCAGCGACATTGCCGACAACCTTGCCGGCCTGGAAGGAGGAGCTCGTCAGCCGGCCACGACGCGCGTGGGGAGGAGATCGTCGGTCGGCTGCGCGCGGGTCCTGTGGTAACGCCGCCCCTTCCCCTTTCCTCAACAAGCCCGGGCGCCGCCGCCCAATGATGGCCACTATCGCCGCCCTACCGTCTCCCACCACGGCTCCCGTTGCCGCCGCCGATGTCGAGACATCGGTGCCTACTAGATCCTCTCGTCGCCCCGCCGGCCACTACCACGGCCTCCCATGGCGGAGACCGCCGCTGAGCTGCCAGATTTGCGCAGCCGCCGCGTTGTCTTGCCGATCCGGGAGGTGGAGTCAGAGGCGGCGATGGCGATGCCCAGGTTGAGCTCCGTCGATTTCGATAAGGGGAGCGAGGTCTCCGTCTCCTCCCTTTGGACCGATGGAGACAAGAGGAGCCAGCTCGTCGGCGGCGACGGCAGTGGTGGCGATTCGACGACCCATCCCGGCGAACTGCTCCCCCCGCGCTTGCCGTGACAGGCGAACCCTCCCCGCGCAGGCGCTGCGGCCGGCGAGCCCCTCCCTCGTGGTGCGCGCTCGCATCCTCCGGCGGTCCCCATCCCTCCTGCGCGCTCCAGCACCTCCCCTGGCCGTGCTCTGTCCACGGAGAGAGAAGGGAGAGGATAGAGGAGAGTGGTGGAGGAGGAAGAATAGAAATGGCACTTACATGTGGGCCCTCACGTAATTTTTTTAATTTTTCTCGATGACCAGGCTGCCACGTCAGCAAAACCACCGTCAAAAACTACCGAGAGACTTGTTTTGTACTGGTTTTAACACTTGGGGGAGGTAATATATCTGGTTTTCCGGTTGGAGGATGTTATTCACGCAAGCACTAGGGGTGTGTTTGGATAATGGGAAATGAGGGGTGGGATTGGGATTGGGAAATGAATGAAGGGTTAGGATTAAATGAATGAGGGAGAATGAATGGTTATGATTTAAAAATGGGTGGGAAATCATTTCCCTTAGACATTTGCCAAACACTGCCTAGACATGAGGGATGTGAAATGGACTTTTTCCTACCCTCAAACCAAAGGCCCAACAACTACTACCGCCGGTTGGCCCAATGAGTATTCAGATTCCACAAGGCTGATACCGACTCGGTCCAAACTGTCATAAGCTTGGATCCCACGCAGCCGACACCGACTCCATCAGGGCCCCGTGGCCGGCAAGGAATCGCGCGCGAGGCCTACAAATACGAGGCCCTGTGCGTCCAGGCCGGCACACACCGGACCGGGACCACGGATCGTCTTTGATCCGCGCAAAACTCTAGAGTCGCCGCCGCCGCCACTGGTGGAGAAACCGTTTGTAGTCCCGGTTGATAACCCCCTTTAGTCCCGGTTTTCTAACCGGGACTACGAATCCGGGACTAAAGATCGCTATTTTTAGTCCCGGTTCAAAATCGATCTTTACTCCCGGTTGGTAACACCAACCGGAAGTAGAGAGGGGGAACCAACCGGGACTAAAGAGGGGAAGCGACAGTTCCTCGAGATTTTTTTTATTATTATTTTGTTGTTGATTTGCTAATGGCTAGTGTTAATCTATATATTTTCTCCCGAATTGAATGAGATGCACATCCTAAATCAACATCACAAATCAAATACATCACAAATTCTAAAAACTACACACAAATTAAATACATCACAGATTATACAAATTATACATCTTAGATCCATGCGATGCAATGAATCACAAAATTATACATCCAGTGAAACACAACTTACAAAAAAAAAGAAAAAAAAAGAAACCGAGCCAGCGCCCGGCCACCGCCTGCGCACAGCCGCCTGCCCGCCGGCCGCTTGCCCGCACGCGGCCACGCCGCCGGCCGCCGGCCGCCTCCACGCGCGCGGCCGCGCCGCCGCCCGCCGCCGCCGGCCGGCTGATGGAAGACGGAGTAGAGGGGAGGAGGAGGAAGGAGAGGGGAGGAGAAGAGGAAGGGGAGGAGGGGAGGAAGAGAGGGGAGGGGAGGAGGAAGAGGATTGAATCTGAGAAGAGCAAGAGAGGGGATGTTCCAATCTTATCTAAATATCTGTCTGGGACTTAACCGATCGGATGTGGGAGAGAAATATTTACTCCCGGTTGATAACTTCAACCGGGACTAAAGATCGATCTTTAGTCCCGGTTGGTAATACCAACCGGGAGTAAAGATCACTCGATCTTTAGTCCCGGTTGGTAACCGGGACTAAAGTGGTAATTTTTAGTTCCGGTTGGTAGTATCAACCGGGACTAAAGATTCTCGACCCCCTGACATACATCTGACAGGGGATGAACCGGGACTACAAATCATCTTTAGTCCCGGTTGGTGTTACCAAGATCAAAATTTTTTAAACCGGGATTAAAAACCGGTTTTTAATGAAATCGGGACTATTGTGAAATTTGGTCGACCGACCAAAGATGGTTTCTCCACCAGTGCGCCGCCATGCGTCGCGAGGGGCGGATGCACGGGTGGGTGTACGCCCACAAGCTCGTCGACCCGATGGATCCCGACGGCGCCGGCGGCAAGGCCAAGCGGCGCGTGGTGCACGATATCACGAAGCAGATGGCCAACGGAGGGTTCGTCCGGGTGTCGAGGAAGCCCACTAACCACTCCAAGTACACCGGGAGGGACCCGTACGAGGCCTACACCAAGAGGAAGACGTGCAAAGGGAGGAACAAGTTCAAGCATGACGAGATCAAGATGTACTACCTCGACGTCGAGGGGCTCGATGACGATGACGAATATGAGGAGCCGTATACTAGTTACTTTTATCCTTATTTTTATTATTATTTTAGTTGTAGCTGTTGGTAGTTCCCCTTGAGTTGTTTTTCCAAGAAAACAGGCGTTTAAGAACGATGTGTATATGGACTTTGATATAGTATTATTGTGAGATGACGTGAATAAAATTTCGTTTGAATATTTGCTATGCTATAAAAGCTTACAATGACCAATACTTCTTTTTAATAAAACAGCACCCAATATGTTTCACACTATTTACATTTTTACCACTATGTTTCTGTTGGATACAATGCCCGTGCCTTCTAATCTAACCCTCTTATTTGTTCCTAGCGTTGATCACTATCCAGTATCTGTTTGTTGTTGATTCACCACCTATCTCGGCGACCCATCTGCCACCCTAGCCTCCCTCTAATAACTGGTGAATTTCTGGTCTTTTCTTATCCACACCCATCCCCTCCCACCTTGATCCTAACCCTACTCTTTATATCCTAACTATTGACTTCATCAAGGTCAAGGGCGTTGTTGGTTAGTCTCTTGGCTAACAAACTGAGAGATGAGTAGTGAAGGGACGTAATCCATCAAGGTAAAGGAAAACCGAATCATAAAGATCACTACTGGAGAAGAGGTCTTTGGAGGGTCGGCCGATTTCCACAATAGTCCCGGTTCCAAAACGAACCGGGACTAAAGTGGTTTATTAGTCCCGGTTTATTACTTCAACGGGACGAAGGGATCTTTAGTCCCGGTTGGTGATCATCTTTAGTCCGGGTTCGCCTCCTGACAGGGCATGTCAGACCTCTGTCGGGGGGCTTGGGATCTTTAGTCCCGGTTCGTGTTACCAACCCGATTTAAGATCTTTATGCCCGGTACCAACCGGGACTAAAGTTGCACAACTTTATATACCCCTTCTTCCTCCTCCAGCCCGAGCCATTGCTTCAAAATTAAGCTTTGAGGAAGAGAGGTGCTGTCAAAATTTTAAGCAAATTTTTATGGTGGTAATATACAAATTTGAGGTCTTCAAAAGGTTAGCAACTTCATCCTACTCTTTGTTTTGCTTAGCATCTACATTTGGAGCTATTTTTTTTTACATATTTTTCCCTCTAGAAAATGTAATGGAAGATGATGAGAGAGAAAGTGTGTGTAGGGAATAAAGAAGATTATAAATACTTGTTTGAATAATTACATATAATTTTGTATGAAATTATAAAACTAAGCTAATTTAATATTAAAATAAGAAAAACATATTAAATATTTGTTTATAATGTAATTAAAACATGAAAAATATGTACAATGAATTTAATAATAATGATTAATTGTATGAATAATTATATTCAATTATTGTATTATTATGTAATTACCTTGTAAATCTTGGATTTTGTATAATTACGATTTATATGTATTTCATATAGATGGATCGGCAATGGATGTACGTGGATCGGCGGTCGAAAGAGTTTATTAATGGCGTGCATTATTTTTTGGGTGTGGCCAATGATAACAAGCGTAACGGTTTTATAAGCTGTCCATGCGACAAGTGCAAAAACCAGAAGGAGTATTTCACCACACGAACTATTCATGCCCACCTGTTTCAGTGGGGGTTCATGCGTAGCTA